GCTAACTTTAAGCTATAACTGAAGTACTGTTAAGTTGGAGTGCTGTAAATCTTTTAGGCCATTTTCCTTTTTATACTTACCCTCCTTTTTATCCTTACCTTGCATCCTTTTCTCACACGCCCTTGCACTCACACACAAACATACGCAGGGACAGCACTTTGGTGTGTTGTTGCTTATTATTAGTACTTCTTAGGGATTTTAATGGTTTTTACTGGCCAAACACCAGGCACCCATGAAAGCCGTTCACTCATCTTCTGCTTTCAGCTGGGCAGAGGAGAGGGAAACAAAAGTTAACAAAGGGCTCATAAGTTCAGAAGAGGACTGGGAGAAAAAACACTCCAAGAGTAAAAAAACAGGTTCAAATCTTCTGGTATTAATTAATTTTTTTAAAAACAGAGGCAGAGTATGATAATGAGAAGTAATAAAAAACTTTAAACCACTTTTTTTTCCCTAGGCCCTCCCTCCCTCCCACCAACAGTGCAGGGAGACAGGGCGAGGGGTTCTTCACCAGCATTGAAGCACTGCCAATAAAACGCTGTTTGCCAGGGAAAATCAGCGTATTCAATAAGCTCAGATAGAGGGCATCTTCTGATAGGAATTGAAACAAACAAAACACCAATATCATAATGTAATAAATTGGGATCATTTGGAGAGTATCTATTAAAAAATCTTGGATATTATAGTGTATGAAAATGCCTGAAAACTGTTGTTTCTTTGGAAATACCTGTGGCAAATAAATTTCCAATATGTTCACAATTTTGACTCAAATTTTTTATTAGTCTAACACACTTTTTTGGTTAGACTTTAAATGTCTTGATTTCAGAGGGGCTACAGCCTTGGCTTGTGCTCCCTGGAGCAACCATGATCCCCAGTGCCCAGAGCTGGGCTGTCACAGACACGATGGCGCAGGGGCTCAGCATTCCCCACACCGAGTGCTTTGTGAGTGTCACAGCAGAGATCTCCCCTGAGATCTTTAATTTTTAAATTTTGTGAGCCAGGAGCAAAGGTGTCTCTGCCTTCAGAAATTCTTCCTCTCCACTGCCTTCAGCTGCTCCCTCAGCAGGCTCAGGTGGTGCAGCAGCAAGGAGAGGAGGAGGCCGTGATCCTCAGCACAGCCACCCCCTTCCAGGAGCAGGGTGACACCTGTGTTTGTCACCATGGGCTCCACGGGGCAACAACNCTGCCCATCCACTCTGACCACAGCCAGGGCCACATCCCACTGCCTGCCCACCATCCATCCATGGAGGTGAGCACCGTGTCCCCTCTTTTCACCTCACCGACTGACACACCTGCTCAGTGTGAGATCAATGTCTCCAACATGGCCATAGACTTTGTGATGCTGCTCGTTGGCCTCTGTGGGCTGGCTGGGAATGGAGTTGTTCTCTGGCTCCTGCACGTTAATGCCATTACCCACTTCATCTCCAAACAGGCCAACGTTGACTTCCTCTTCCTCATCTTCATGTTGCCCTCCACACTGCTCTTCCTTGTGGAGGAGGTTTCCTGCTCTGCTATAATGCCCCTGATGTATTTGAGCTTGCTTTTCCAGCTGTCGCTGTTCACCTACATTATAGGGCTGTACCGGCTGACATTCATCAGCATTCAGAGATGCAGATCCATCCTCTGCCTGGTATTCTGTGGTTGCCAACTGTCCGAACACTTGTTGTGGGTGTTGATGACTGCCCTGTTCTGGGTCCTCCTCTTTGTTGTCATAACTGTCAATCCCACGGTGACTTCCCTGTGCCAGTCACACGAGCAGGAGCAATGCCAGGTGGCTGTCACCTCCATGTACGCCCTCAACCTCTTCCTCTTTGCTGTACCCATGGTCATTTCCAGCACAATCCTCTTCACTCATCTCAAGCCTAGCTCCCAGCAGCAGTCACACAAGAGGCTTGACGTTGTTATCTTCCTCATTGCACTCTTCAGTCTGCCCTTCAGTCTCTGGTCTCTCCTGCAGCAGCTTGGTTACACCGTTGTGCCCTCCCAGGTGGTTTTCCTACTTGCCTGCATCAATAGCAGCATCAAACCCTTCATCTGCTTTTGGTGGGGAGCTGGAAGAGAGACTGGTCCATGGGGAGCTGCTGGAGACACTGCTCCATGGAGACCTGCAGGAAGCACTCCTCCATCCAGTCCCTAAGGAAGGCGATCCACAGGGTGTTTGAGGAGCCAGAAGAAAACACTGCCTGTGGAGATGATCTTGTTGTGACCACCGGGGTCTGAGTCTGTTGATTCCTTCCACTGCACTGCTGAAGAACCCCGGGACAGTGGCTGAGAGATTCTTTGAGTCTCCTGATCAATAAATACCCACAGGATCATCCTCCCTGTGCTGCTGCATCCCCAGCCCCTTTCCAGGCCTCTCTGGGCTGTGATCCCTGCTTGGGAGGCCTCAGCCTTGAGGAGCAGCCCCTGGGCTCAGCTCCTCTGGCGCTGATCAGAAACACCCTCTGCTCCCAGCAACTGCTGCTCTCCAACCACCTCCTGGGCTTTTATCAACAGCCTTGCAAATTCTTGTACTGCCCTGGATGCCACAGCATCCCTGCTCTGCCACTGTCCCAGGAAGCTGCCGGCCCCAAGTTGGCCAGGCTGAGCCATTGCTGTGAGTGCCGCCCATGCCTTGGGGCCCTGTGAGCAGCGGCCCCAAAGGAGAGCCTTGGAGCTCTGCTGGGCCCAGCAGCGCTGAGCAGAAGCTCCCTGGCACTGGGGCCTCTCCCAGCTGGGATCTCTCCCGGCTGCTGCCCTGGGCTGATCCCCCAACGCC